TTTCATTTTTCCATTGCAATTTGTTTTTTCACTGCTGTCCAGAGCTCATTTCATCAATTCTCACCAAAAAGGGCTCATAAACTATGAGTTCTCTACTGCCTTACAGGTTTGAAGGACTGCTTTTCTTTTCCAGCTCTTGACCTACTTTAGAATATTTGTTACTTTCATATACTTTCCACTTGTAAATTTTTTTAATTCATATTTATTCAACAATTTCTTCTAAATTCAGCCTAAGTGCAGAGGAAGATTTTCAAACCTCGCTCAAGTGGTAGGTCAGCTCTGGCTCATCGCACTCACACAGAATATTTCTCTGCTGCAAACAAGGAGAGAACAATTTTGTTATACAAATGGAAAACATATTTGCCATAGATGTTGTTGATCACTATGATCCTGTATGTCTATTATTGCATTTGTAACTGTGATTGAAACAAAATGCTTTCCATCTTAAAAAAATAATTGAGCTTTCCATAAAATTAACACACTGATGCTCTGCTTCACTGCTGTTAATTGCTTTTCCCCAGTCATTGGAAACTTTAGAGAAGTGTCCCCAAGCTCTGGTTGCTTCAGAAGCTTTCCTGCGAGCTGGGTGTATCACAGCTGTTAAAACTTTATGAAACCTGACATTGCAGTTTTACATGTACTAAAACCAGAGAGACTGCTCAGGGTTTCACCACATGTGAAACTGCAATGTCAGGTTTCATAAAGTTTTAACAGCTGTGATACACCCAGCTCGCAGGAAAGCTTCTGAAGCAACCAGAGCTTGGGGACACTTCTCTAAAGTTTCCAATGACTGGGGAAAAGCAATTAACAGCAGTGAAGCAGAGCAAAGAGGGGCAGCTATAACAAGGCAGGCCCTCACTTTGTAAAATACCAAGCAATTTCCCTTGGTAGAGGCAGGCAGATGCTTGCTACTGGCAGTGCTCTATGGCTCTCAGCAGAGGAAAGACAAGGGGCAGATGCTGGGACAGATCCAGAGGTCCCCAGAAAATTATCTGAGGACTGAAGCATCTCTCCTTTGAAAACAGGTTGAGAGAGTTGGAACTGTTCAGCCTGAAGAAGGCTCTGGGGACAACTTACAGCAGCCTTCCAGCTCCTAGAGGGGGAAGAGAGAGCTGGAGAGGAACTTTTTGCATGGGCATGTGGTGATAGGACAAGGGGAGATGGCTTCAAACTGAAAGAGGGCAGATAATAGGAAGATATTAGATATTAGGAAGAAATTTCCTGTGGGGGTGGTGAGGCATTGGAACAGGTAGCCCAGATAATTTGTGGATGCCCCATCCCTGCCAGGGGTCAAAGCCAGGCTGTACTGGGGTTTGAGCAACCTGATCTAGCAGGAGGTGTCCCTGCCCTGCAAGAGGGTTGGAACTAGTTTATTAACTTTCAAGGTGCCTTCTAACCCAAATATCCTACAATTCTGTAATTCTATTCTATCATTTGCGGAACTCAAAAGTGTTCCAAGCTCACCCCAGAGCTCGCGGCACCTATCGGGTCTTTCCCCTTCCTTCCGCAGCCTACAGCAGGACTTAGCCCCACACCGATTTGATGTCACTTCACAGCGTCCCCCCTCTCCTGCCCGTGGCGGTAGCGGAGCCGAGCTGTCTCTCGGGTCTATCCAAATGCGGAGCTCCCCTTGCTGGTGACAGCCGGAACGGGACCGGCTCCCGGCTCCTGGCTCCCGGTTCTGTGCAGTGCTGTGCAGCGACACAAGCGTGTCCAGGTCAAGGTGGGAACCCGAACTCGAGGTGAGTGAATCATCCTCAGTCTCTCCAGAACCTGTATGCTGCCGGCTGCCGGGCTCCGGTGCGGGTGCCAGTAACAGCACCTCTTCTTTACAGGCACAGAGTCAAGCACAGGGACAAATTCCCACCCCAGGAATGCCTTAAGAACGGCACCACCAGGCCCATGATGTGGCACCCCCTTTCCACACGCCAGAATAAGCTGGAAATGTTTAATTACTGTGGTAATAATTTCACTTCTTGGAACAACAAATAATTTTTGATGGTTTGAAAAGCATTAGATGAATTGCTAAATATTACTTATGGTTAGAGTAGGTAAATAATTTATTTGAGTAAGGTGCTTTGCTTTTATTCTTTGAATGCCCTAGGTCCCACTGAGTTGTCTGGGGATTTGTATGACACATGAACATGCGTCATACTTTATGACATGTATGACACGTTAAAGTATGCAGTTCATTAAAGGATACTTCTCCCACTAAAATGCATCCTCACAGAGGAGATGCGCTGATGAAGAGGTGTGACACCATGGCTCTTTATATGCCCATGGCTGGATTTTGATGGCTGCAGACTCTTCTTGCTAACTTGATCTAATTCACTTTAGGCTGGCCCTGCCAGCCTGAATTACTTTATTATCATTTCCATGGAGGGAAATTGTATTTGGTGTAGGTGGGAAATAACAATCTACATGCAGAGAGTAAGGTGTTGAGACTGAGAAGCTCCCAAGAAGTGTGTAGAAAACGGCAGTGGAGAGTCTTAGAATGACAGAGCATGAAAAGACATGGAAGACGCAAAATGCAGAGGAGACAGAGGCCAGGAGAGCCCGGGATCACTGATCCTTCCCCAGACATGTCACCACAGAGCTGGGCAGAATGCCTGCCAGGCAAGAGAGGAGCCTGGTAGCTCCATTAATACTTTATTTATTTATTGCAGTGAGGCTATGCACACAAAGGAGTCACTGACCCAGAAGGATTAGCCTAAGTCTAGGTATAGTCAAGACTGAGTTTAAAAGCAGCCCTGCAATGCTTCTTTCTTTAGGGACCTGTGAGGAAGCAGCAGGTAAGTCACTTTAAGGCAGATTCTAGAATTACTTAGATGTGCAAATATTGGAAGGTCATAGTGCTGGTCATAGTTTGGAAAGTCAAACTTCCAAATCCTGTTGGAAGTAGACTCCACAACTACCTAACTTGCCGACAATCCCTTCACTTTCCCAAACCTCATCTTTAGCATTTATGCTAGTCTAGCTCACTTGTGTTTCAGTTTCACATCTGTAAAGTGAACTCATAGCACTTTTATACAGTAGAAAGAGATTTAATGAGAAGAATGCCACAAATAAATAATGTAATTTTTTGCAACTGGTTAATTATCTTTTTGTGGAAACAGGATTGCTCTTCATGAGCCAATATTACTGCTATATTTCCTAAAGATTCCTGAAATCTACTGAGTCAGTTTCTCCCCACTTCTCAAAATAAAACCTTACTCATCTTTTCCCACTAAGAAATTATTCAGAAAAAAAAAAATTGTAAAAGGCTAATTAACTATGGTGATTTAGAGTGTAGGCCAAAGTCCTCTGTGGTTAGTCAATATATTAAGTATTACTCATTATGTTAAATATTAAACCAAATAGCTGCTCATATCCAGGACATACACAGATCCCAAGTATGAAGGATTATTCTGACAGGTCTTCCTACATATTCCTTACTGACATTTTAGGCTTTGCTTGTTATTTCCATTTTTCCAATTTCACATAAGCTAAAATATTATTTTAGTATAGGTGCAAAAATGAACATTTAGTATTGTAGCAATTTTTGAAGGAAAACATTAGAAAATCATTGTCATTGTATTATTTATTTAATTGCTGGGTAAAAATACCTTTAAATAGACAAATATTCTGATTTCTGCTCATATCAAGGCTAACTTGGATAAATTACACATTAATTTCACCACTGACTCCAGCTATGGAAGCAGTGGACTCTAAAAACATGAGAAACAAATATGTTCTTTGTACATAGCATGAGGAATGACCCATTTCTGGATGACAAGAGGAAAGCCTGTCTCAGCTTCCATGCAGGAGATACTCTACAGCCCAAATTCACGTCTTCTGGGTCAGGAGCTGCCTGTTACACAACAGGCTCATCCCAAGTGGGCAGCCTGCAGCATCCTGCCAGTGCCCAGGGAAAGGTGGGAGATGTGACAGCAAGCACCACAATTCCCTATAGGTAAAAAATACTGCCTGCAGTAGAAGGGACAGGGAAAACTGCAAGAGGCTTTTTTTGGCTCTGCAGGTGCTGAGCAGAGAAGATGTTTCCCCAGAGCTGTGGGAAGCTGCCAAAGGAGCCCATGGCGAGGCCACACATCCTGGACACTCAGTTAAGTCCATTTCCCTCAAAAAAAGTCAGAAATATGGGTAATCTCTTACTGCTTTCACAGACTATGTGATTTCATATACAGTTGTAAACTCTGTAAAAATCAAGTAAGTAGAACTAGATGCAAAATTATAAATTAGGCCAGGAGCTGGACTTTTATGACCCCTGTAGGTCCCTTCCAGGGATAATCTGTGGTCTTCTGCGAATCTTCCAGACACAGCAGCAGCTGCTGACGTGCAGAACAGTGCCATACCATGTGTTGGGCTGCTTAGAGCTGCAAAGTCGGCCAAGGGACTAGAGCACCTCTCCTGTGAGGAAAGACTGAGGGAGTTGGGCCTGTTCAGCCATGAAGACAGATGTCTGAGAGGGGACCTTTTAAAGGTGTTTGGTAGGGAGGGTCAAGAGGATGGAGCCAGGCTCTTCTCGATGGTGCCAAGGAGTAAGATGTACAGGAAGTGCCACCTGAACGTGAGGAAGAACTTCTTTACTCTGTGGGCGACCACACACTGAAACAGGCAGCCCAGACAGGGTGTGGCGCCTCCCTCACTGGGGATGTTCAAGAACCGTCTGGATGCAATCCTGTGCCACATGCTTGAACAGAGAGGCCGCAGCAGACGGCGGCCCCTGACACACCCTGCGGCTCTGTGTCACCGCCGCCGCCGCCCCCTCACACCCCGCGCAGCCCCCGCCCAGCCCCGAGCCGGAGCGGGGCGGGGGCGGAGCCAGCGGGCAAGGCCCCGCCCACCGGCGCGAGCAGGAAACTCCCGCCGTTGCCTTACAAGGACAGGCGCGCGGCTCCCTCCGCCCCTCGCCCGTGGAATGCGGTGACCACACCGCGCCGCACCAACGCGTCGCCGGGGGAGGGGGGAGGACACACACACACAGGGTGGAGGGGCTGAGCTTGTGGCTCTGGCTTTCTCCTTCAAGGAAGGCAGAGATTCCAGGGAAAGAACGTGAATCACGCGGACCCCTGCGGGTCCTCTCCCCAACACGGCTCGTGGCGCCCGGCCGCCGAAGCGATGAGCCAAGCCACCACCTCCCCCTCCTGCACGGATGGTCTCGCCCACAGCTTCCTTCCTGCCCGGCGGGGCGGCGGCCGCTCCGCTCTCCGGAAGTGTCCCTGCAGCCGCTCCCCGCCGGTGCCGTCTCCCGCCGCCAGGTGAGTCGGGGGGCTCCGCCCGCTGCCCGCGGCGTCTGGGGCCGGCCGCCGGTGAGGGGTGGGGCGGTGCCGGGTCGTGGGACGCTTGCGGAGCCGGGGTCACTTGCGGCGTCGCCCCCAGCAGCTCCCCTCGGGCCTCGGCTCGGTGCTGCTGCTCTTGACGGGGATCCGCCCTGCGGGCTGGAGCTGGGAGAGACCCCGGCTCCGGGCCCCGCGACCCCGCCCTGTGAGCCCGGTAGGGCGCGACGCCACGGGGACGGTGCCAGCGGGGATTACCTCCCTGTGCATCATTTCAGGGAACTGGTGTTAGAACCGGGGAACTGGTGTAAAACACCAGCGAAATGGTGTTAAAAGGTGTTTGCCTCCCTGTCGGAAGGGCTTGGCTGCCTCCCGGCCACTCCGAGCCTCTGCGGGTGTTTGCTCGGCTTTGTCGGAGCACGGGAGGGGCAGGGCTGGGAGCTGCTGCGGTCGGAAGCGGCTGAGGTCGTGGGCCTGGGTCTGTCCCTTCCTGCTCACGTTTTGGAATAACCAGAGCTGCACAGAGGACTGCGTGCGATGGTTCCCCGGCTCTCAGATAACATTAGGTTAGAAAAGACCCCCGGAATAATGGAGTCCAACCTGTGACCGACCACCATGGGAACTGGACCATGGCGCTGAGTGCCACGTCCGGTCTTCACTTGAGCACCTCCAGGGATGGTGACTCCACCACCTCCCTGGGCAGCCCATTCCAATGTCTAATCCTTTCTGTGAAGAAGTTCTTCCTAATGTCCAGCCTAAACCTAACACACTTTCCCTGTCCTCTCATCCTGTAGTTTACTGATTGGAGAAGAGGCTGATCCCCATTTGGCTACACCCTACTTTCAGGTGGTTGTAGAGAGTGATAAGGTCACCCCTGAGTCTTGTTTTCTCTTTTGCAGACGGGCTGTGTTGACTCACTGGCACTGGATCTTGAGGCAAGTGTGACTCCTGTACAAGGGTTTTGGGAAATTTATTAGTGAGAAGTGTGTTAAAGTGGCTTTTAAGACTGGGTGGGACAGCGTAGGGTTTGGGTTTTGCTAGTTTGCTTTCATAAAGTGTAATCTGCTCTTTATTGAGCCTTGATCTGCTGGAGAACACCTTGCTCTTATCTCTTCCTGTTGCCACCCACATTGTGATGGATGTGTGACTGTATGTGGTGCTGCAGTTGTGTACGTGGACAGAACTTGGGATTTAGCTTTGAGGTTAACTTTTGAGTTTGATGTTCTACCTTAGTTCATTAGAGACTTTCTTGGCTACAGGTTTAGGCATTTATTGTATGGTGGTTTGGGTTTTTTCAGTAGTAGATTTTGCAGTTATTACAATTGTCACAATTCTGAAACATGGGAGTATAACTTTTGGTCACTGCCTCTGAGCAGGTCCAACTTGCACCACTGTTAGTGGGCTGTAAGTTTTCACAGCTTACTGCGTGGCTCAAAATTTTTAGTTGCTTCGAGTTTTTTTTCTCCAAGGGTTTATCACTTTCCCAGAGGAAGGGACCACAAAATTACTCTGTGTGCTGTGGTTTGATATCCACTGTGGCTGAACAAATGGCAATACAGGCAGCACAAAGCAGCACAATGCTGCTACTACCCATTTATTGTTTTTTAATATGTGAGAATCTTCCCAAAAAAAAGGTTGCACTTTCAGAAATACCTTATGATGTGTCTCACAGGTAATGTCTTACATTTTAAGTTTCTTGGACAGCTTCCAAAACAGGGCCCAGACCATTCAGTGCAGCATAATATTAAACAACTGGGACTAAACCTGCATGTCATGACTTGCACTATCTAATGTGAAGTATTCCCACTTTTTATCTACTGAAATTCTATTTGCAGCCTATATTAACCCTGTTTCAATTACGAAAGTCTTGGCTTAGATGTGGGTCTTTTTCTTTGGATAACATAAAGTACAAACACTTCTGGAACTTTTAAATCATAAATTGTTCTCTTTGGCTAACTGGATTGATGCCTTTGGTTTTCTGAACATGTTCCAAAATGTACCACCTTCTTTTCTAAGAGACATTCCTGGAGCTGAGTCCAGTGTTTCAGGCATAGCTGCTGCAAACCTGTGCTGAAGGGCACTGCAGTCCTCTGAGATCTGATGTTTCTCTGTAGCTAGGCTGAGAGCTCTTTTGGGCCGGAGGAGTTGCCAAATCTGGTTCAGAGAAACTTAGAAAGTAGTAATGCAATCATTGGCACTTTTTTGGTTTTTTCTAGTAAAATATACTCTGATAGGTCAATCTTCTCAACAGAAATAAAAAGAATGTGCTGACAGTCTGCTTTTGTTACCTCCTCTTGCTTAGGATTGAATTGTAGGTGAGAGAATTGCAGGTAGTGGCTTGCTGGGAGCATTGCCTTTGCAGCACTTACGCCTTTTCACTGATCCTAGAATTACAAGCCAGACACAGTTAGGTGATAAAAATGGATTACCATTATAAGGATCCTTATGGTGCACAACATGCTGGATGAAAAAGCGCTGAAGGTGCATACTGTAAAAAGTGGATACAATTTTATATGTTCAGCAAGTTAGCATTACTGACAAGAATCCCCAATTAGAGACAGAGGTGATGAGATAATTTGCCCCTGGTTCTCCCCTTTTCTGAACACCCCCCCTCACCTTTAGATAGGAACTAAACTTTATTTATGAAAAAGTTAGGAAGCTGTTTTGACCTGGAATCCCAAATGTAACCTTGACCCCCAGGCCTTAGAGCTGCTGGGGAATGTATTTTGTCTTTGTAATAGAGTCGGTAAAATGCTAGCAATGAATACAACAATAGGCTACAGAGCTGCAAATATATATGTGAGGAATTTGGAGATACATAAAAGTAAAAAGGCAAAAATCAATTTGGTCGGCATCAGCACATGCAGAGTAAACTTTTTTGTTTACTTTGAATGAGCCATATCCTGAAAACTGCTTTATTTCAGAGAAGAGTAATTAAAAGATACTGTTGGGCTCTATTTTGAGTAGTGGAACTTCTAATCAATAAGCCAGAGTTAAGTGAGAGCTTGCCTGAGGGTTTTTCTTTGGTGGTAAGAAAACCACCAAAGTTATGCACAACCTTTGGCTGCAGCTTGACAGCAAACTACCTTTGTTGTCAGCTGTGTACTTAAGTATCTGGCAGTCAAGAGTTCAGGTTTATTTGTTGCAGTGTTGTGGAGGCCAGGCATCTCGGGTAGCTCGTGGTTAGTGAGTGCAGTGGGGAGAACGTCTGCCTTGCTGAGCGATGCGCAGTTGCATTTCAGGGGCTATTTTTAGTTCGGGACATAATGGTTTGTTTTGTACGTCAGAGGAACGTTGTAGATGCACGCAGGATTTAAAAGTGTGGAATTGGCAGGGGGCATCAGTAGCTGTCTGTGTGGACAGACTGAGAAGGACGTAACCATGGAATTTCCTTTTATGCTCCAGCTGCTTGGTACACCCTGTCAGGTATCTAATACAAAGCAAGGTAAAATGTCTTTCCTTTTAGTTAAAAAAAAAATCCAAAAATAACTGCTTTTTGCCTGCATATTGGGTTGATTGTATAAGGGAGTTACTTTGCTTAATTTTGCTCCTTTTTTTTTAAGGATGAATCCCAGTTAGTCACTTCAATCTTTCTTGCTTTTCAGGAGTCTAACAGAAAATACTCTACCTTTGAGAAAACTGTCGAGAAACAGAACTGTGCTATGACTCCAATTAGCATTGCTTTTCTGACCAGATAATTTGTTTCTAAGTTATAAAATTAATACTTTGTGTAAATTTCAAACTATTGATACTCTTGCAATTACAGGTGAAGCTTAAATTTTTCATCTTTCAGGAGAAACTTGCTACAGGTGTTTTCTGTAAAATTCAGAGTCAAGGTTGGAAGGAATCTGGTTTGCATAACATTTTGTTTGAGTGTTATGAAGGATTTTAGCAGTATGGATTACACTTTAGTTTTAGCTAATGCAAGCAGAGGTTATGAGACTTTTGGAAGCAACATTATAAAGGGTCTAACTTGTGCTCCAAAAGCAATCTTGAGAACTTTGTGTTTGCCTTTCAGTGAATGACTCAGCTTTTCCAGTTTGTGCTGTCATACATTTAGCTGGAACACTACATGTATCTTCCCAGATAAAGAGATGCAGTTAACTTAAGCCTCACTTCTACCCTGAATGTACCAGTGTTATAATATATAATCTATCATGTTTATTTCTTTGTTTGACAGCTTCAAGGGAAACAATGACATTAGTGATATATGAAAATTTATAAAAACATATTAATGTTTCTAAGCTTAAAAGAAACGGTCTTCACATTTTTGTAGCTATTGTACCTTTAATTAATTTTAAAAAGAGCGTGCTGGCATTTGCATGTGTTGTGTAGTAGTTCCACTGTGTAAGGGAATAGCACTGTAGAGTGCTTTTGAACCAAGTCAGTGCTCTCTCAGTGGCAGCTAGTCTAACAAAACGCTATTCAGAGCCTAAAATACTTTTTTTCCCCTCCAAAATGTTAGTTTAGTATACTATCTGATCTATTTAACCACTGTGTTAGTTAGCAGCACATATCCTTCTATGTCAACAGTGCATTAATGACTTAATTTGTGGAAGATGAGGTGGAGTATTGAAACAGCAATACGGGCATTCTGTGAGTTTCAAGAGCTGTGATTTGATTTGGGCTTTTTGATGTAGCCTGCTATTGGCCTACAGTGCTGGTCCCTCAATCCTCAAAGGCATTCTGCTTTCATAGCAAGTGAAGTCTGAAGGAAAATGGAGCAGGAGATACTGAAATAAATGTGTACTTCGGGGTATATGCCAATAACATGAAACCTGATGTCCCTCTACCCCAGGGACTTGCAATGTGATTTAATAAGGCTAAATCTTGGATATATTTCTGTCTCCTTAGAACCAACAGCCACCATGTCTAGCAAAAGAGCAAAGACAAAGACCACCAAGAAGCGCCCTCAGCGCGCCACTTCCAATGTATTTGCGATGTTCGATCAGTCGCAGATCCAGGAATTCAAGGAGGCCTTCAACATGATCGACCAGAACAGGGATGGCTTCATTGACAAAGAGGACCTGCACGACATGCTCGCCTCCCTTGGTAATAATGTCCCTTTTTTCTGTTCATGCTTGCCAGGCAAATTTGTGCTGCAAAAATCAAAGTACTGAATTTAGGATATGAGAGGCGTGGTGTCTCAGTTTGTATTAACACTACTGACAGTACTTTTTGTGTTTGAGAACTAAACTGAGTATGAATCCCTTTATTTGTAGGAAAGAATCCAACGGATGAATACCTGGATGCCATGATGAATGAGGCTCCAGGCCCCATCAACTTCACCATGTTCCTCACTATGTTTGGTGAGAAGTTAAATGGCACTGACCCCGAGGATGTAATCAGGAATGCTTTTGCTTGCTTTGATGAAGAAGCAACAGGTATGTGGGTAAAACAACAGTGTACGTTTATTACTTCTACTTAGTTCTGTAACAACAAACACTTGTGTTCATAGAAGCGGTGACCAGTTTTTTAACTCTGAAATTTTAGATTTCTGCAAACTGAAATTTATGATTGTATAGTCATGTGCTAAATTTGCCTTTTCAGTCTCTGTAGAAATTTCAAATTTCTGGCAGTGTGTTCTGTTCAAGACTGGACAAAGTATAAAAGCTGTTGATCAGGAACCAGGGTCTTAATTTATTCCTAACTTAAAATTCACCTTTGGGGCTGCTTTTATGAGGGGAATCACTGTTTTCAAAGCTGTTGTGCTTTTATGAAGAACTCTTCTGTCAGCAACTTGTATCCACCTTCCCTCTGTGAAGGTGCACTAAAAGGAGAAGAAAGTGCATGCAAGAAATCTCTTGTGTGACTCCCAGGAGTGATAAAAGCAATCACAAGTTAGACAAGCCTACTTGTTTAATAAACCACACCATAAAATTTATTCTTTGCAACCAGTCTAGTAAATCTTAGTTTTACCAGTGATTTGAGTTTGAAATGTTGTAAACTTTCACATGTTTCATGCACTTGTTGAATGTTAATAGTCAAGTTCTGTGATATTTTTTTGGTGGTTTTCAATAGGAATGCTCAAGGTAAACTGATGCCGTTTGTGATTTTTAAAATACTGAGCTAGAAGATTCTTGGTACTATTGGGAGTGTAGCCCTGCTGTTGGGAAGAATGTCCAATATGAATACTGATAAATTTTTATATTCTATGGAACAAAACAGGCAAAGCATATAATGGTCTTTATTTTTATTAGTGGGTCTTTTATTATTAGTGGGACCTTTCGTACCAATTTCAAATGCCTGAATTGATTGAATCCTTGTAATTATTTGGCAATTTTAGTAATAGGGTTTAATGGCATTGTTTTCATTTGGCAGACGAAGACTGTAGGTATCTTTAACTGAGGGAAGGAACTCAAAGAAATTATCACCCATGTATTAGCAGATAAATGTAAAAACTCCTCTTCTGTCCTCCTACACTGTGCTCCAGGGTTCATCCAAGAAGACTACCTGCGGGAGCTGCTGACCACGATGGGAGACAGGTTCACGGATGAAGAGGTGGATGAGCTGTACAGAGAGGCCCCCATCGACAAAAAGGGCAATTTCAACTACATCGAATTCACGCGCATCCTCAAACATGGAGCGAAAGACAAGGATGACTGAGCAAATCCCTGGATACGCGCACATTATCTCTACCTTTATGTTTATTTTTAATGGTTTCTTCCTGATAGAACTTGTTGCATGCATTTAGCTCCAAAGCTTTTGTCTTTTTCAATATATTTATCTATTCCAGGCCATTTAGGCATATTTGCACCTGTAATCAGACTGGAAGCAGGGAAAATATTTTGAGGGAAAGGCTACATGAAAAACATTCCCTGGTGTTGATAGTCCAGGAAAATAATCTCAATGTTTCTGGTTTAGCTGGATTTTTACATTTTTGTAATAAATGCCATTTTGAAATAAAGATTGCTATATAGATAAAATACCTCAAAATCTTTTTTGAAGAATGACATTTCTATTACACATTTACAAATGCAGGTGTGTTCATTGTGTTTTTCTTGCAGTTGCAAGTCAAGCTGGAAAACTCATTTTCATGCTGTTTTGTTTAGTGTCACAGAGTTCTGAAATGCTCCTAGCAGCATCCGCTGGCATCTTTAAAAATGCAGCTGCAGATGTCTTTCATCTCAGATTTTTGAAGTGGGATCTGACTACTGTGTAAGTAGTTAAGCAAATAAATGGTTAGGGAAGACTTAAAATTGCCTTATGGCCAGCACAGAACATCTGAATCTTAAGCAGATACCATGCCCAGCTTTTGCTTCCTTTTAATTTTGATGGGTTTTCTAGCAGTACTTTCATGTCAAAGTGTGCATTCTTCTTTGCTAAGTAAGGGGGAATTAGGCATATTTTTCCCTTCTGCTGAAGGAAGCTTGTGCAAAAGAGTCAGTGCTGGCACCAATTAACAGCAATACATGGCCAGGAAACTTACACAAAGCTTTATTTTTCTACAGGTAATTCATTTGCATGTGAGAATGTGAGCCAAGTCATTCTGAGAATTAACTTGGTAAAACCCTATAGGTGCTGAAGTTGCTCTCTCTTTTTAAAATATCATACATATTCCTGAGATATATTGGCAAGATGGTTTTTAACCAAGCACAGTCAGTTGTTCAGAACTGGTTGCGCTGATGTTGTTTGAAACACAAAGAAAAGAGGAGGATTGTTCTGTTAGTTCTTGGTATGACCATGCTCTTCTGTGTGCCTCATTCTCTTGGCTACTGCAAGTTAGAAAGCAGGAGGAGAATTTACTTTGCCTATGCATTTATCAATTAAAACAATGACCTCTTATCCAGAAAGCTTGTCCTCAGCTATATCACACGACTTAAGACCCCAAGGAGTAGGTATTCAGCACAAGGGATTGTAAAGGCCCTGACAGCTTATATTGTAAGGTGGGTTTGTCTCAATTCGTGTGTGATAGCATGAAGGCTTGGTTACTTAATCTTGCTTGTGTTCCCATATGGCAACTCTGGAAGATATTCTGGCTTCAGGTTTGTAAATAACTTGACAAAGTATACTCGGTGTACTTGGAGTATTTTTTTTATTTTTTATTCCAGGGTGTTTTTTTCCACTTACGGGCTTAATTAAATTTGAGTTTTCAACCATTCTTTTCCTAGTTCTGTGTTTTATCTGCTAACAAACTTAGCCTCAGTTTTTCTCCAACCCACATTACGTTCTACACTACTTTAGGTTGCCGCAGCTGCTCCTCTTTTTGAAAGTTTGCTTTTTAACTATCTTGGTGCTCTTCAGTAATGGCTGCTGAGTTATTTCTCCATGTGCACCTGCAAGGTTCTATGAAGTTGTTTACAAGTATGCATGCAAGTTTTCACCAGCAGTGCCCTTATGACAAAGGCAAGAGAGTGGAGATACAGGAAACTGTCTTGTTGAAATGTTGCTGTGTAAGGTTAGGCTGGAGAACAAGTTATGCTGTCACTTCTTTAGACTGATCTTGTCACCTGTGTGCAAATCAGTACTGTGTGCATATATGCCTGCTTGAAGGACAGATGTAAGAGATTGTTTATTTTTTCCCTTTGAGTGTCTAAATGGCATTAAGATTCAGAGAGCAGTTTACTTTGGTTAGGAACCCTGGATCTCTAAACCCGTCTTTTCCTGATCCTGTTTTCTTTGTAAATGTTAGGTGCTGGTGTGTTACACTGAGTAAGCTGCAGGTGTGCCAGATGGATTTTTCTTGCCGGAAGTAGCAATTTTAAAATCATAAATGTGAACTACTTAAAAGAGAACCTGGTATCTTCCTTGAGAGGAAATTGTCCACTTCAAAAATATTCTGTACTGCTGCTCTTGCTTTCTGAACAGCCAGCTGAAATGTGTGGTGTAGCTGTTTTGTTCCTTGGATGCTCCCTCTGAGTGGAGGGTGAGACAGAAGTGTGCAGAGGAAAAGATACCTACTCAGGAAGATGTGTTACTGAGAAAGAATATCCAAGGGTGTGTGAGTATAATGAACCTTCCAAGTTCCAGTTTCCCTGTTTTTTTATATTGTAGGAGACCAGTTAACCTGCAAGTGGGCACAAGCCCCTTAACTGCTGAGAGGCTGCAAGGCCAACAGCCCCAGCCAAGAGACCATATAAGAGCATCAGATGCATTTTGTAGCTAGGCAGGGAGGAATGTGACAGCTGATGTTGCATGCCGAGGGCTGTGGGGATGTGTCATCAATAATTCACTTCCAAAAATAAAAATAACTTTGGTCACTGAAACAGCTTAAAATTCTGATGACTTAGCCTTAGCATTTTGCAGCCAAAATCTTGGAACCTAATCTTTTCTCTCTCGGGCATATATAACAGTCTCCAAACTCCACACCAGATTAAGCTTATGATGAAAAACTATTTTCATAGGCTCATGCACACATTTAATAGTTTACATCTATAGTGATCTATAATGCCCTGTGAAGCACTACTGAAAAGCAGTGTTTTATTTTACATGACCCACTTACCCTGTTCTAAGACTACAAACACAGAGGTCAAAATGAAGGCACAGAGCTACTGAGGCTGCATGAGAAACCTCCAAATAGGACCATGTTTGTGTCGAGCGCTGCCAGGGAACTGCTCCCTTTTCATCCTTACTCAGCTGCTGGAGATAAAGGTAATGCACAATATTTTACACTTGTTTCTGCTCTTCATTTAAGCAAATAAACCCATCCTTGTGGCACAGTGATCAGATGACTGAAGCGTTTCACAGCATGAAGACAGATTGTTACACTAGCTCAGCAACTAGGGGATGTCACAGGGGTGGTATCCCTATGCTCCAGAGCAAGGATCTGTTTCACCGCTGACCTAAGGACTATCTTTGGATCGCTTGTTTCTAGGATCCCTGTGGTATCTGGAGGAATGACTGCAGCCCAGTGGCCCCATCCTGGCACAGGGCATCAGTGACAGCATGCCTTTGTGTCCTGACACCTGCATTCGATCCAAAAGCTGGGATAATATCTGAAATCTTGTCATCACATATTTCTCGTGGCCTTTTCTAGTCTGGAGTGTTACTAACCTACTGTTTGGGATGTTCCTTGGGAATTTTAAACAACAACAAATGCAAAGATATTTCAACAATGTAAGTCCAAATAACGGGTGAGTAACAAAGTATAGTCAGGAGCATTTTAAATATCAGCAGTTAATCCTCCCTTGGTATTGCTTATGCACCCATGCTCCTATTTTGTCTTCTTACTTAATTTTGCAAAACCCTACTGTCATTTTTAGATAACTTTCTCCTTTGGAAAAATGATTTAAGATTACAGTACCTCAGAAACAGTGTTGCAGAAACTAGGAACAATACAAAGGGAAAAACAACTCAGTAAATGCCTCTTAAAATGCAGCTTAAAATTAAGTTACCATGAAATATTGAAAAGTATTACTCAGTGGGGGGAACCCTCCACCCTCCACACGGCTAGGGTTTTTTTGTGCTCTGAGCAGCAACTCCACAGAGATTACTGTTTTCCCAAACTTTTGATATACTAGATAGAAAACTTCCCATCTTAAATAAGAAAGAAAAAGGTGGTAGCACATGGCTGCTTTTCCTACTTTTCTCTGCAGCCCATGGGTAAAAACACTGCCAAGAAATGTTTTCAGACCAGAAGTGTGATATTCCCTAGAGGCCATAATAATAGGCCCTGCATCAGAGGACTTAAGGGGTCAGGCAGTTTGTATCAATGTAATAAACCTGAGGGAAGATGTTTACATGTTTCTCAGCAGAACCCACTTAACAGGAGAATGGGAAGTCAAACTGCCACTATCTGCTCCTTTAGGCACCCACATTTGCTGTTCTTGTAAATTGCTTCGTTTTCCAAGGTTTCATTTAATTTTTAATCCTCACTTTGACTATTTTAGGGTATCACTGAGTACAACCTCACTAAATACCAAAATAGGCTTTGGTTTGTTTTTTTAACTATGAATAGTCCTTGGGAGTTAAAAGACAGTATTTCACAATAATTTCCAGCCTGTGCCAAGCATATTCAAGTGAGTGGGTGTAAATTTAGGCCTGTAAGACTTGTCTTAGTATGTGCTAAAATAGAGCTGGCATCAGACATGAGTTACTTGAACCTTGGCTTAGCCTTGTATTTAACAGGCACTGGGGGTTTTCCCTCTTTTGAATTCTTCCTCAACTGTAAGCTAACCATCTCTAACACAAAAGGTAGTGGCAAGATATTCCCACCCCATAAGAAGTATGCTGATTTTGAAATTGTTCCACCAGCCAACCAAACTTGCACAAACTTTCTTATCAGGCATCAACATCCTCAGTCTTCTATGATGACCAAGGGTGTGGAATGGCTTCTGTACAAGAAAAATTACCTCAGTGGGACTCTCTGCTAAGCTGATACAGGAACACACGAGAGCTTTCTGGAAGCAAAAGTAACAGAAAAGAAGTGGACACACAATTCAGCCTTAGTATTTCTCCCAACACAAAGTCTAGAGCATAGAATAAACATTGCAATAGGTACAGTCAAGGTTAGTAAGGTGAAGTTTTTCACGTAACAAATAGCAGCCTTACAAAGGGTTTCAAAAACACCAGCAAAGTGTTCAGTAGGCAAGTTCATGAAAGAAGCTCATTGTGGGTTACTCAACATCACATCTGGCTCAGGGTAGCTTACCCCTCCGTGAACTAAAAATAGTAGATATTGGGAAAGCATTCTGGGAAGATATCATGGGCTACCTTGATTCTTATTCTTCCCCAAGTACCTGTATATGGCCAAGGCTGCTGCCCTCCCCTAAAGAACTGGCTAAAAACACCCTGTATGCTCTCTCTCCTCCAAAAAGAAGTACAGAGAAAGTGATTTTTTTTTTCAAAAGAAAGTATGATTCCATGTTTTGGGTAAAAAAATCCAAACCAATACAACTCTCCAGTGACCTGGTAGGGAAGACCTCATAGCAGCTATTATTTCTTGAGGGCATGCAAGAAATCAGTAGATCCATCCCAGCGATGCTCCAACCTGGAAATGGAAAAAGCAACTGCTGGGCTTCCCCATCCCCAGTCTCAAGACTGTTTCTTGCCAAGACTTTGCTCCCTGCCTTCCACATCCAGAATCCACATCTCTTTGCAGCTGGGGTGCACTGGTCTAGGCAGACTTTTACAGTGAGCCAGTGCAGCCATTCCTGTAACATTCATTAGATTCATAAAGAAACATCATAAGACACAAACTGATTCTGCTTCATCAAGCAACCAAGTTAATGACAAATATTTGCACTGTCAATGTAACTCAGCAAAGATGGGGAAAGACAACAATAGAATGGTCAGAAGTTGGAAAATACCCCTAAGTGCAACTGTTAACAGAAAGAATTAAATGAAAGGAGGGAAAAGGTTTACTGTAAATTACTCACTGTCTGTTGCAGCCTTAAAACTTAAGTATGGAGCAGATAATTTTGAAAGTTCAAAGAAAATAAGCATTTCAATGGCACCAAATCATTGAGTATTTCAGACAGAAGGGATAGAAACAACTAATTAATTTTGCTTAAAATGTTTTTTTCTTAAACAAGACTGACATAAATGAGAAGAAGGGAATAATGAGGGAAAGAAGCAGAAAGAAGAAAAATTAAAGAGTTAAGAGCTCAGCATTTTTTTTAAACCATCTTTTCAGAAAGGATCATTTCTGTTCTGAAAGTTTGATGCACAGTTTTTGGGAAGCACCACACTCACAAAAAAGACCCTTACTTTTTTCCTTTTTTATGTCAAGAAGTTAAAAAAAATATCCTCCAAATATTATAAAAAGCAAAACAAAGCTTTCTTGTCCCTTAAGATTTCTTTATTGTTATGATGAGTGCTGTAATCAAGTAAAATTGAACCATTTTTAAAAGCATCACTCAGATTTACATCAAACAGAAAATGGTTTGCCTGTCGGAACTGCTTCTCATTCTACTATGATGTAACAAATTGGAGACAAAAGCTTTAAGAGACACACACTGACATGCAATTTTGTCATTAAGAACTGATCTCATACTGGGCAAATAATATTAGTGTACCTATCCCCACATCTGCAGAAGTTATACACGGTGACAGGCATCATGTAACACCCTTTTAATAGCATGAAAAACAACACAAGACAGAGTGGCATGTTTGCAGCAGTGGTTCAATTTAAAGTAACTGATGAAAGAAGTTTAAATTAAGAGATCAGATAGCTTTTGATAATTAAATTTCAACACACAGGTCAGTTTTTCAACATTGTCATGAAGTATTTTATTAACTCTCTTAACATCTTAATATTTCTACTGCTTTTCTTCCCACTCATACTTTGCATGTAATTATCTTGAAACTGTGCCACATCTAGTAAGCAAAGAATTTTTTACCCAAAACTTTTTCCTTTAACAGACTTTCAATTTAGCAAAGTCTAGTCTTAGTTTCTATTGCTCTTTGAGGCAAACTGTAGAAGAGTGATATTAAAATTAATTGGGGAAGTATTATAAGCTAATTAGGCCAAATTCTCAGCCCTCATGAAATAACTTCTGATTTGAGAGGAGAGCAGGGAAAGTAAGTTTGGCCTCTTGGCAATTAAAATGTCTCCTTTCAAATATGAGACTGCAACTTCTAGATTACATATTAGATTACATGTTAATTTCAGTAGCTCCAGTGGCTAAATGTAGTTCATTTACATTTAGAAATATAATTGATAATTTCAGATAAAGCTTGCATGTCTATTTTTTCCTTTCACAGAATGATCAAGGTTGGAAGAGATCACCTAGTCCAGCATCAACCCAGCACCACCATAATCCCCAAGTGCCACATCCAGACACTTCTTGAACACCTCCAGAAATGGTGACTCCACCACCCTTCTCGGGCAAATTACTCCAATGCCTTTCCTCCTTAAGAGTTCTTGTTTTCCAGGACACAGACTGTACAGCAACACAGCCAGCAGCAGGTAGGAGGGGGACTCAAAGAATGATGTTCTGGCAGTGCAGCTTTCCCATCTGACTACTTCAGGACCTTTCTGTGCACTGAACAAGAGTCTTCTTGAAGCCCAAGCTATTTATGTGGGACTTCAGAAAGCAACATGGGAATAAGCATTCCCTTTGGAAAATTTAAAAAATGTACAAGTGGGCTGAAAGTGAACTGCTTCTGAAGCAGTTTCAGAGACCATCCCCCTACGCTAAAAACAGCTCGTACTCAATTTATTTGAGATCCTACATCAAATAATGAATGGAAAAATATATGCAAAAATAAATCCTCCAAGTGGCCTTACAATCTATGGCTGAGAGTGGCATTAAGGCTCGCTCCTGCGGCAGCACCCACTTAGAAGACTTAAAGAAGCAATCTGGAATTCTTCTGATCCTTGGAGAGAAACACGAGGAAGAGCGAAGGTAAGGATGACACCTCACACCTGCTGATCCGGGCAGGACGTCCCCGCGGGATGAGGAGGCTTCGTTCAGCTCCCCGATGTGGCACCCCCGTGTGAACCCGGGGACGCCGCGGGCGCCGCCACCGGCTCCAGGAGCACGGAGCGACGCTCCACCTTCAGCGTGCGGAGGTTTTGTGTGTACAAAGGAAAACACCCCCGGGAATCTCCCGCTGCCCGCCGAAGCCCTGCCAAGCTCGGTCCCCACAGGCTGCCTCCATTCCTCCCCTGCAGGCGGCGCCCGGGGCCCAGCGCCGGCGGCGGCCACTTCCCCCGGGATGCTCCAACGCGGCCGTGGCGGGGGGCGCAGGGAAGCGGCCAAGGGGCCGTGCCGAGCCGGCCGCCACCCAGAGAAGCCGGGACGGGCTGCGATCCCTAAGGGAAACCCTCGGCTGCCGTCTCGCTGCCCTCCCGCCGCCTGTCCCGGCGCTCGTCCCCACCCGCGGCCCGGCAGGGCGATGGTTTCTCCAGGAAGCGCTGGAGCATCCGCCGGCGCCGCTTCCTCCCTTCCGTGTCTGCTCCGTACCCGGTCCCCGCAGCCGCCGCTGGGGTGAGGGTCCTTTCAGGACTGAAATTTAAGTTTCTTTACGTCTTGTAAAAATGACTCCTTTCCTGGTTTATTAGTCTGTCTTTCCTTTATTCATATTTTCTGCTTCTTTTTTTTCCCTTCTTGAAAATACTAGGGAAATACGTTCTGATGCGAGGAAATGAGAGTGCGTTAGTGGCGCGCTGTAACATTAAACCGTAAAACTTTTTCCTTTTTAAAATCCTAACTCTGATCTCACTGCATTTACTGTATTTCTCCCTCTGCCTAGTGTTCAAAAATCGACATGTCTAGCAAAAAGGCAAAGACAAAGACCACCAAGAAGCGCCCTCAGCGCGCCACTTCCAATGTATTTGCGATGTTCGATCAGTCGCAGATCCAGGAATTCAAGGAGGCCTTCAACATGATCGACCAGAACAGGGATGGCTTCATTGACAAAGAGGACCTGCACGACATGCTCGCCTCCCTTGGTAATAATGTCCCTTTTTTCTGTTCATGCTTGCCAGGCAAATTTGTGCTGCAAAAATCAAAGTACTGAATTTAGGATATGAGAGGCGTGGTGTCTCAGTTTGTGTTACACTCAATTTGTGTTAACACTCAAAAATCTTTGTATTGACATTACTTGTTCAGTTTGAAAGCTAAACCAGGTATGAATCCCTTTATTTGTAGGAAAGAATCCAACGGATGAATACCTGGATGCCATGATGAATGAGGCTCCAGGCCCCATCAACTTCACCATGTTCCTCACTATGTTTGGTGAGAAGTTAAATGGCACTGACCCCGAGGATGTAATCAGGAATGCTTTTGCTTGCTTTGATGAAGAAGCAACAGGTACGTGGGTACAACTCGGCTGCTTGGCAGGGGTATGGCTGGGTTTTTATGTTTGTTCTTTGGGTTTCTGAATGGTATGCTGATTTTTGGCACCTTTATCAATTAAATGTGAGATGGTAATCCTAGATGGCATATTCTGCTAAATTACTGAGTGAGAGTAAAATCTGTCTGGCTGTTCTGTGTCAGTACTGAAGACTAATAGGACTGTCCTTCTGTGAGGCTTTGAACAAGAGTGCTTTAAATGGACAGTGTGTACGTTCCTCAAAGTGTAAAACAAGATGTATTTGCTCTAAGATTAGGAACTCAAATCAGTAATGTGTGATTTTTTAATGGTGTTAAAAGGTGGTAAGAAATCTGTCATACAACTGAGTTTGTCCCCCCTCTGCAGTGGGTCTGCAATGTGTCTAAATTCTTCAGGTGTTTATTATTTTAAGACACACTGTCCAGACTTCATAAAGTCTTACAAACCCTCTCTGGCTGAGCATTTTTTATGGCTCTGAGGACAAATGTCATGCCCTCACCTGCAGCTCAGTTTGCTTTCAGATTGCAGGAAGGTCTGCAGTCTTAGTGGTCTAAAGATAAAAACCAGTGGGGTGTAGAAGGCAGAAATAACAGCTTGGACTGACTTGAAAAGCAAGATGAAGGGAAAGAGTAAAACACAGAACTCAGTTTTACTATATTGGACTTCCAAGGTTGTGCCTGTAATCTTGAGGTTAGAGTTTATGCTTTTATGTATTATTCACCTAGGCTAAGATTCCTGAGAAGCGTATAGTAACTGGGGATGAATCCATAAGGCAATTCAGTGGAATTAGAGTATCAGTGGTTTGATATGTTGTGAACTTGTCTTCCTAGCTCACACTGAAATTATGTAATCTCTGTACTAGAAATGACACTGCATCTACAGCTTTCCTCACAACTGTCCGCCGCAATATTTTAATCTAACCAGTCAATATACACTCTGCACCTTTTGAAGGATATCCTTCCGTTCCAACAGCTATTTTCAGTCTGTGTATTTTTAGCACCTTTTGGTTTTTCAAAGTGCATTGCCTTCCTGCTGAGGTGTAGGTAAACAGGCTTTCAGTTGGTAAAGCCTTTTCAAATGTTAATCGACTTCCTCCCTCTCAAGGGAAATCTCTTTACCATTTCCTAGAGAAGGAAGTTTGTTACTAGGTTAATTATTTTCTCTCCACAGGTAGTCTGACTCACTGTGCTACAGGGTTTTTTATTTGTGCACCAAAACAAGAGCCTGTGAATTACAATATAAAGAAAATGGTTGGGCTACCAGTTCTTTGGAACAGAAACTTCTGTGTCTATATAACCAATAAGTTACTAGTTTGGGCACCCATATACTGACAAGATTGATTTTAATATCTCTCAGCTCTGTGTGGTAAATGTTTTAGTCTAGTCGTACCTGTTCTGTTGAGTTTTGATTCATAATAGTCAAAATGAAGTCTTCAAAGTAGCATGTGACGTATTTGTAGAATCCATGTCATGTTAATCCTTTATTCATTTTATCCTCTTACTTGGCTTCTGATCAGTTTGTTCCTTTTAAAAATGTACAAGAACATTTCCAGCTATATCAAACTCTATTACTTTTTTTCTCATTTCATGGTCTCCACATGTGTGTTTGTTATGGGCCTGATTTTCTAGCTCTGTATCAGTATAGGTCTTTTGAAAGGGAGTAATACGAATCAGATCCTATAGATGAGGATAAGGTAGTCATGCTTGTTAGGTTTTACTTACATTTTCCTATATTGCCAGCCTAGTTGGGTATGTTGCTTCAGCATTGCTATCATGTGTAGTGCTATGGAATTGATGTAAGAGTTGGATCTTTCTGCACTTGGAGTATTTTTTATCTGGTCTTTGATCCTGCATTGTCATTTGCTGTGTGCTGCTTGCAACAGGCTGAATCTTAAGTTTTGCTTCATTTATTTGTTTCTTGCCATCTATGCTGAAGCTGTACAGGAGGGACAGGATCCCTGTTTGCTTTATAATTTGTTGCTGATATAACTTGTGGCTTATTCCTGGTCTGGCAGCCCAGTTCAGTGTTTAAACAACTACCTATTCAGACAGGAGCAATTAAGTCCTTGAGGCTAAACTTGCAGCACCAAAGGCCTTGCATTCTTTGAATACTAATCCTTATGTCATCTCTCATCACTGCTCGGTCTCTGTAGGACAGAGAAAGAGTCTCATCTGTTTAGCTGCCTTTTCCCTCTTCTTTATGCCCATCTTCAAAGACAGAACTCCAAGGTTTGATTGGAGTTTGATTGATGCCCATCCCAACCCGATTAGGATGGGCCTGGCTAACTGAACAGTCTCCCTATTTCTGAAGTAGAAGATTGTTGCTAGCCTTCTTCATTTGCAGTCAGTATCCAAGGGCTGGTCTGCACTGGGATATGGTGCTGTTTTCATTAGCATATGTTGAAACACAATTTTTTCCCTTCCCCCAGCATATACCACCCCCGTGCTAATTTGTCATGCTCATTGACTGCTTTTGGGTTCCCTGATTCCCTGTTTGGTTTTGTCTCTCTAATGAACTCTTAACTTACGCAACTCTCTTTCCAAAGCAGCTCTTTTTTTATCACGTTCTAATTGAATCTACATTAGTTGATGTGGGTGTCTACATATGATTTCCAGCTGTTCCACAGAGTTTACTTTCTTACTCTTCTTTTTGGAACCTACTTTTACCTCGTTCTGTTACTGACATTTCTCCAACTAAAGTTCAATAACCAATTTCTTTCTCAAATGAAACAGCTATTGTGCTGCTAAAGGTATGGCTGGAGTATACCCGCATTTAGCAGTTTCTGCATTCTACTGTCTGCCCTTTGTTATGCATAGTTCTTTTTTCATCTCTAAATTTTCCTGGAATTACTTGGCAACTGGTGGTTCTACCCATCTCTTGAAATAGAATTAGCAGAAGATACCTAGAAACTGCTCCTTTTTTTATCTTTGTTAACTTTCTCAAAAATCTTCTACTCTTTTAGCATATAATAAGTAATATATCCTACTCTTTTTTTTTACTGGGTTCTCCACCTTTAGCTCTCCACCTTTAGCTCTCCACCATAAACATTCCTCCTGCCTCCTGAGCTAACTTGCTCAGTCCTGTCTGAAAGTCTCGTCTGTTATAAACTACTTCCCTGGACACTTGCCAGGAGTTCACTGTATCCACATAAACTGCCTCCAGCAACAGTGTTGTGCAGCACTGAAGAGCCAGAGTGGTTATTTAGTCCCCAGGGGAAACTAGTTTATAGAGGATGTTCAAATATATCTAATTAAGGCAAGAAAAATATAGTTCATTTAAGAGAAGTGCTTGTATAATGAAGACTAGCAGTCACAGGAACTTGTTTTTCCACTTTGAGCCGTTGAAGATCAGTAGATGGAAATATGTGTTATTATACCACAGCAGGTCAGGCCCTGTCTTCAAAAATCTGCATGAAATGTGTTAAACTTCCTTTCGCTTTGCACTCAAGGAATTTCTTTAGAATTCAGTTAAGGAAATTTGTTGGGGCTCTGTGAAAATGCAAATGTAATATATGACGTGCTGCACTGGTTAATTGCCTGTCCCTGTGCACGTCTGTGCTGCTGCTTTTGGAGACCCAGCTAAGAGGCCTGGCCTCCCTTTTGTGTTTCTCTCTGCATGCCTCATTCCAGGGTTCATCCAAGAAGACTACCTGCGGGAGCTGCTGACCACGATGGGAGACAGGTTCACGGATGAAGAGGTGGATGAGCTGTACAGAGAGGCCCCCATCGACAAAAAGGGCAATTTCAACTACATCGAATTCACGCGCATCCTCAAACATGGAGCGAAAGACAAGGATGACTGAGCAAATCCCTGGATACATGCAGATAGCACCTTTGATTTTTATTTTTTTTTTCCTTCTCACTAATTTTATTTCTCAGGATCTGTTTTTTCCATTCTTTTCTGGTTTTCTGGGACCATTTGCATACATTTTTAGCACTGCAGCTTCTTCCTCTGTAGATCCTAAGGCTGCTCAGGCACACCTGCACCTTTGTAATAAGACTGGAAAGTAGCAGGGAGAGAGAGAACAGTTTACAGTGATCGAGGTTGAAGGACAAAGATCAGAGAGTGTGGAGGCCTGTGTAAAAATGTCAGAGCTACTCATCCTAGCTAGATTAATTTTACATTTTTAATGATAATTTTTCATATAAATCACTGTCTACTAAGTGCATAATCAAAACTTTCATGCTAGAAGTATAATGTTTCTCTAATGATACCTGTAAATATTTTTGCAACTGTATGCAGTCATGTTGTTACCTATTTTTGCCTTAAAAATTATGTATAAGTCACTTAAGCATAGTGATGTTTGTACTTCAGCAGCTGAGTATTTCACCTGCTACTGTGAGCATACACATGAAGAAATTCCCATCCTTCAAATTTTAGTGTATTGTAATTTAATAATTTCTGTCAGAGACTTGCACATTAAACATTTTAAATCTTATGGATGTAGTTGAGCATGTATTTTACCACCTCAGTCCCTCAATTTATTGACATTGAGTACTATATTAATATCACTTTTAAAAAACTTATAATGTAAATCCCAATTTTTTTTTTTTATACAAGGTATCATATTTGGGTAGGTTGCTTGAGTGATGCTTCTTACCAGATCTGTGGGCTGCTGATACTGAATTAATGACATTTCATTGCAACCATTTATTTCTTTCTCTTATATTTCTGGATTTTTAAAGCACAGTAGGGACAGGGCTGGATGAAGAAGAAAGTTGTGCTGTCTCTCCTTATAATTTTCTGTCTTAAAATATTATTCTTGGTCTTTAAATGAAACAATACATACTATATTTTTAAGACCTCTTGCTGTGAGTGGTGTTTTGGACGTGTGAGACTTGAGGCATTCCTTTTTGTTCCATTTTTCATAGTTGTATCCTCTATAGTTTTTGTGGTATGGAAGGCATGGCAGATTTGCCACAGTGTTCTGAAGCAATTTTGCCATAATTGGAATGCTTGTGGTCCTGCGGTTTTTATGTCTTGAGAGAAAGGATGATCAGAGCTGCTCCTGACACTTGTAGGAATTACATCGTTAATCCCTTCAGAATTTACATTACAAAATTAAGAAAAATTATTTAGCTGGGAGCATTTTGCTGTTTCAAACTGAATTTTTAAGAAATGCCACCAGAAGACAGCGATGAAAGCTCTGAGGCTCCTGCTCTACCTCAGTCCCGGGGAGCTTTGGCGAGGCACGGGAGCTGCGCCCACAGGGATGACCTGATCCCTCTGTGGGACTGTGCGAAGCGCATGGAAAAGCAGGGAGGGGAAAAAAGCGCCGAGCAGAATCAGCAGAAATCCAAACGCGTCACAAATGTTTTTCCCTGGGAAATACTTCCGTTCGGAGCGGGCAGAGATTAGAAACTCGAACAAGAACTTAGGTAAACTATGGGTGAAATTAGTACCGATTTTGATGGTTCTGAAGGAGGCACCGGCTGGGGCCATGCCGGGAGCCAGCAGGAGGTGGCAGCACAGCTCTCGGCACGGACGCCGCTGTGAGGCCGAGCGGCTCCCAGCCCCAATGTTGGATTTGTTTGGGATTTTTGGTTTGTTTGTTGTTTTAGGGGGGATTTTTAGTCCCAAAAAGCTCGTTTGCTGCATCGTGCATAGTGGGAAGACGTGCTCCGTTCCCATAGAAGTCCTGTTCCTGCCACAGCAAAGGTTAATGGTGCCAGGATTTTTCACATTGCGGCTCTTGCACGAGTTGAATTTTTTGCCCTTTAATCAAATTTGTTCATTACAGCAGAGAGTAAAACGAGGCCTCTGCAGGCCCTTGGTACCGGCCTACAAACACACATGTGGTGTATGTTTGGCAAAGATTGGGTTTCAAAAGGACTTATGGCCTTCCTTGTAACTCAAACCAGAGACACTGCTCCTGCATTTCACTTCTCAGTATCTCAGTGAGGGCTCTTCCTCTTTTGTTCAGATTACCTTGAAAAAAAACTACCACAAATTCAAATGTATATGTTTGCATAACTTTGTTTACATACGAAAGACTAAAACCTGTGATATAAACTAAACTGCTGGGGCTCCGAGTGAGGCAGCTGGTATTTACCTACAGCAATAAATGCCAGTTGTTAAACCCCAGTGCTTGCTTATGGGCCAGGGCTGTGTTGCTGTATAGCAACACCTATATGCCATTTGGCCTTGTGGTGACGAATTGTAGTTCATTAATACTATTGTTCTAAGCCTTGCCTTCGGCAGAATCCTGGTTTTACTCTCTTGACTTTAATGACATTTAATGTTCTCATAAAAACATGTCAGAGAGAATGATAAAAATGGATTTTTGGTGTGTAACTCAGAGGCCTGGGATTTGTCTTGAAACGAAATTTTAAACCCCTGCTCGGATGCAGAGGGTGCCTTAAAGTCTGTGTGTGTCTGGAACAAGTAACACTGGTTTTATAGACTAATTGCAGTTCTTAGTCCTGGCAAAATCATTCTCAGTAAGAGCCACAGAATTTTCAAGTGTTCTCACTGAAGTGGGTCAGCAGAACATGAAGGCGTTTGTCGTGGGATGTCTTTCTCCTTTTATTTTTGTTATTAATTCAGCTGTTTTGTAGATAGGTCACTTGAGTGGAGGGCGGGAACAATGTGGCCTTGAATCCTCTCAGCTAGAAGGGAGAATTAAAAGTAGGTCTGCAATATTCAGGCTGAATGTTAAACCACTGAACAATTGAATAAGGGAGGGTGGAACCATCACAAGCAGCTGTCCCTCTTATTGTGCCTTCTTTTTTCTTCTTTTTTCTTTTTTTTTTTTTTTGGCAAATGAAGGAGCTTAGGCAGTGATCTCAGGAGAAGGAATAAAAGAGATCCATTCTACCTCGAGAGGACTCTTTCCTGCTCTTCAAGGTGAAGTTCCCAAAAGCCATGACTCATAAGTGGGGCTGGGATGCTTGTTTCCTGTGGTTGCAGGGCAACAGAGCTGAACCCTAAATGAGTTTTAGCTTATAAACCGTTTCCTCTCCAGGACTGTTTGTGAGAAGTAGTGCCTTGCCAGGGAACTGTCTCACACATCCTGTATCTGGCTTAACACCCCCCACAAACTCCTGCCAGTGTAGGTAATAACTTGTAAAGGTTCTCGCTGTCTTTACTCTGTTTGAATGTCGTGCTTTGTAAGCTGCTGTGGCTCAGCACCTGATTATCCTTGAGCAACTCGGCTCTCTCCATACTGGAGCAGTCAATTTGTCAGCTGGGCTGTCCCTACATGTGAATTAGAGCCCCAACTCCTGTGGAAAGGGCAGTGGTGACTCCTTACCTCCTCTTCAGTATTTCATGCTGATGAGACTCAGCAGATCCTTACTCAATACCCTTGTTTTAATAGTTACTGATTTTAGCACCTAACCCCCCTGTCTGGGGAGACAGCAGCATCTGTCAGTGTGGCAGGCAGGGCTCACTGTGGGTAGTAGCAGTGGTGTCGAGCATTCTTCATTTAGATACCAAGTAGCCGGTATTTAATACAGCAACGTCCAAATGTCAAATAGAACGGTGCTTGTTCTAAAAACCGCCGAGGTCTGGAGAGAATTCCTGTCACCAGGGTGGTGGTGTCTAAATCCTAAGCACTCGGTCTGACCTTTGTGGACGGTTTCCTAGCGGCAGGCAGGGCTTGTTCTGCTATTCAAATAACCACAGCTAACTGCTGACTCATCTCTGGTTCCACTGGGCACATCCCAGTGCTCAAATATAAAAATTATTTCAGTAGCACTCTTGAGCTGTGAAAGGCAAACCTAACCAGAGTTCCTATGTGATCATCGTGAGATTAGAGGTGTCATGCAAATGGTGTAATTAAAAACATAAAAAAGCATTCATATGACTTTAATAGGGATGCATACCAGTCCCAGCAGGCCTCTTTCACTGAGTAGGTAAGACTTGCAAATTAAAGATACTTGCAGCTGGAAACTTCCTTTTCAAATAACTGCAGGTCACTGTGACATTGGAAATGGTTGCAAAAAGCTACAGTGAGACCACAGTCATGGCACGCTGCCCCCTCCCACACACATGCTCAAGATTTCCTGGGAAATTTGCTCAGCTCCATGCCCCACAACCCTAGCAAGCTTCAAAGCTACAGGGCTGGAGTTAGTTAAAAGGAGAATTGACAAGACTCATGTTAGTAAGATAAGCTTATGAACTTTGTGATTCATTTTTGGAAGAGAATTAAATGGAACAAAATTACTTGCAGTTAGTACTTGCCTGTTTATTTCTTTCACTAATTCAGGGGATAAAGTATCATATCTTTATTAGAACCTGAGATATATGTTGTGCAAAAGACAAGTTATAACACTATTACTGCTATCCTGTTAGCAAAGAGGGGAACTTGGTCATGAATCTAAATCCTCCCACTTTGTCCCCCCTTCTTATCTGCTAATTAAAAAAATAATAATAAAAAGGAAGCAATGCAATTTTCAATTGTCAGAAGACAGCATTTCTTTCAGACTTGGAATTTTTTGTAACCTAATTGAACACATTAATTATTATTAACCAATAATAACTATTTCTTCTGCTGTAGAAAGTCTAGGTACGCAAACTGTTGTTAGTGATGTTTTTTAGCATATCCATCTATTCCATGGCCACTTTGCCCAGACAGAACAGCAGCACTGCTACAAATGTATTTGGAGGTTCTCTACTACACACAGACCTAAGAGAAAGAAGGAGTCATTAAACTTGTACAAAACGATGAGTAAGGAGTACACTGCAAAAATGCAGAATTCTGATTCATTTGCTAGAAGATGGGGCTACCTGCACCTGAAAGAGGAGGATGAACTGTTGCCATGAAGTACTAGTTACAACAACGTGATAAGCAGAAAACCCACCTGATAACAGCTGCAGCTGAATTTGGAAGCAGATTGCAATGTGGATGGGACAGTAATCAGAAGACAGTGATGACACTTGTTAAAAATATTTGGTTCTACTCTGTTCCTGTTGCAAAGAATGCAGCCTGCTGACCCTGAAATTTTCTGTCCTAAGCTCTGGACAGTTTTGGGGTATCTGAGTAGCCATCTAAACTAATGAAGATTAAAATACCAGAAATTAAGATAGGGGGCAAGGCACTCAAGCATTTCCTGATGCAGCTGATCAGAGATACGACTTTCTAGTTGAGCTTCCAGTAGTCAGACTTCTCCAGAAGCTGGACACCAGTGCCCAGTCAACAATTTATGTAGCCCCATGCTTTGGCAGCTGACAGCAGCTTTTCCAGAGTTCTGTTTTCTGTTTGATGTTTGACTCCTCTCCTCCCCTCCCCTCCCATCCTTTGTGCAAGCACTTAAATGCCTTCCACATGTCAGGGGCCTGCATCTACCCTCTCCGTTGCAAACCTTACATATGCTGAAGGGTTAAGACCTTCAAGCAAGAAAGGCATTCCCTTCCCACACCTTGGGCCTCACTTTGAGATAAGATTCAAAGCAGCTAATAAGTTGTAAGGCAAGGTTTGCAAATTTTGATGAGCAA